GATTTAAGATCCCCTTAATCTTCTTATCATTTCCTAGAATCCATGGAAGTGTGAAAGTTTTTGACCTTTTCTTTTTTGCTTTTAGCCCCTTCCTGTGATGACTCATTGATATCCCAGGAATTTGAAAACTGTACACCCCGCAAACTATTGTGACGCTCCTCAGGTATTTAAAGCAAAGAACCCGCGAATCAAAACCGCGATTTAAATGCGCGAATTAAACCGCGACCCTGCGAATCAAACCGCGAATTAAACCCCGACCCCGCGCATTACTTAACCCTTCCATTACTTCGAGGGAAAAAATCGCGAATTAATTAATCGAACCGCGAATTGAACCGCGAATTGAATCGCGAACCCGCGAATCAAACCGCGAATTAATTAACCCTTTCGTCACTTCGAGGGAAAAACTGCAAATTAATTAATCAAACTGCGAATCAAACCGCGAATTGAACCGCGACCCCGCGAATCAAACCGCGAATTAATTAACCCTTTCGTCACTTCGAGGGAAAAACTGCAAATTAATTAATCAAACTGCGAATCAAACCGCGAATTGAACCGCGACCCCGCGAATCAAACCGCGAATTAATTAACCCTTTCGTCACTTCGAGGGAAAAACTGCAAATTAATTAATCAAACTGCGAATCAAACCGCGAATTGAACCGCGACCCCGCGAATCAAACCGCGAATTAAACCGCGACCTCGCGAATTAATCAACCACCCACCCACCCACTTTCATCTGACCCCCCTTACTGGGCCCCAACGACCAGGTCGACGCCAAAAACGTTGTGCCAGAACCCGTATTACTTGACTACTGACGTTTTCTATATCAATTGATTCAAATATGCATACCCGTTCATACAGTTCTCGAGATATTTCCATTTTTCGGTATTAACCATGGAGTTTCCTCTTATCACTAATATATAATACATAATATAATATCATATAATACAATACAGCATAATATACTATTTCGCATTGCAGATAGGCTGCACCAGATGGTTTTGTTCTTGAATGAACCTCACTTGTTAAGCGCTACAATACGCGTGAAAGTTGAAGTTGAAAGTTAAATTTCAGTATGGTTAAGTTACATTTTTCTCCAAATTTTGGTTTGATCTTTTAATAACTTATGAGATAAAGTAATTCACCTAATTTTTTTTTTTTTTTGAGAGAATTCACAAATCTTTATATAGTCATTTATTGTTAAATTAGGACGATTTGAAATGGGAAAGGATATGCGAAGAAGAAAAAATTCCATTCTGATGAAACCATTTGGGAGCTCGCCATCAATATATTGATGGCAAAAGAAACATTAAGACATCACTCAGTGACATGAGCGCTGTCACATATTTGCTGCCTCCCGCTTGGTTAAATAATTTTCTAATGAAAACTTTAAGGTTTCCCTCGTGCAATCCGGTGTCAACTTCCTCAATTTCTTCACTATGAGCATCACATCTTGTGTACTTTCTTCATTCTTCGTGAGCAAACCATTATATTCAGTAATCAGAGCTACACTTCTTTCGGCTAGATCATTCGTCACGAGAAGTGATTTCACAATTTTTGAAGTTTTAACATATTCTTCGCTTTCTCCCCACATTATCGGATCGATATCTAAGAAATTAGATTCAATATTCAAAATTTTGAAGAACTGAATGGTGTTCTGTGTTACGAATTGATCCAAACTTGACTCTAGGATGAAGTTTTGATCCTTCATGTCTGATTTTCGCTTTTTTCTATCGTTTTTAAGGGCAGGTCGAGATTTGATCGCTTCACACATTCTTCTCTTACATTCTATATCCAAAGAGTCATCAAAAACGGCGAAAGCGATCAATTCTTCTGATAAATACCAGAGATGGCTCACAAATTTTCCAAACACAGTGTTGTACATTTTTGGAGATGCAGAGTTGTTTTCAGCTGCCAATTTTTTCAATAATTCTAGGTCATTTTTCGGTGCTTTAACTGCATTTGGGGCTGTGAACCAACTCTTCTGGTAGAAACGAACAATAAAAATACAAACACTCTTCAAACCTGATATTTCATACGCTTTCATGGAAAATTGATCTCTATACAAAAAAATTTTAAGTGAGTAAATTGCTTTCGCCATCCACCTAGCATGATGAATGGGGCCTAGAGCTCGAAACCGATTGCCATCTGGAAGAATCCGGCCTAGGAACATGATCACTTCATTGGGTCAAGGAAATTGTTCTTTGTTATTTTACGTATCAAGGTTTGTACATTTTAATAACGACTTTTCTTTGATTTTTAAAAGGCTCTTCATCGTTCATTTTCGATACATTGAGAACTACTTTCCTTATGGACAAAATATATAGTCGGGGAAAATATGTGAGATCAATGTCAAATATATTTGCAGAAACAAAGGCATTAGGCAAACTCACATTAATCTAAAAGAGTGGCGAGCATATTCGTTGAACATATAGGGTTAATTCTATTTATTTCTCACAACTCAATTAAATAAGAATGTTTTTTGGAGCAGTTATTATTTAGTCCCCTAGAATATTAAAGAAAATGTGAATATAATAATAAATTCTATTTGGAAACAGATTGTAAAATTTTCCATGTAAATGAACTATGATACCAATGTTATTGATGAAAATTGTTACATAAAAAATATAAGTAGACAGTTTATCAACGGTTTGGAATAATTTATTCATTAAGATAATTCTTCCCCCTTTTTTAAAAACCAACGAAAAGTCGTTATTAAAATTTACAAACGTTGATACATAAAATAACAACGCACCATTTCCTTGACCCAATGAAGTGAATCGCCTCTTCCACCACTCTCTAACATTAACGTAGATTTACCTTACCCCCACTCTGCGACCTGAAGCGCTACTAACGCGCCACAGTGATCACAGAAGGATTTCGCACTATATTATTTTTTTATGAATACGTCATCCAAAAACATAAAAACTATTTACACAATTTCATTTAAATAATGAAAGCTATCGATCAGTAAGAAAAACAGCCACTAATACTTTCATTTTTTTATAACATTAATAAACTAATTGAAATTACGAGCTCACGATATGATTAATGTTGGATACAAGAACGAGATGTCTCGACACACAGGCATATACCCACACATACAGTGTGGACAGCGCGTTGACGCTACTCTGTTTACCTGTAGTTAGTTCGATATAATAAATAGCTAAAGGCAGACGTGCCGATTCACGTTTATTCTCGCGTGTTTCGGAGTTACTCATTCTCACCATATCACTCGTTCCATTCCTTTCACTGGACGCAATCCTAGAATTAAACGAAAAAACGCAAAAGACAAAAAATGTAAAACTCATTGAGATCTGTTGAAAAGGTGCCGCCCTACGCCAGTCTCCTTTTACCGACAGTGTGGCTGACTGTGTCGCCACGGCGCCGTTGCGCCTCTCGTAGATATACTCGTACTATGCATCACTTGTGCCTCGACCGTTGTCGCATTACGTTGCTGAATAAAGCTTAATTACTTTTACGATAATAAAACTGTGTTTAATTGTTATTTCAATCCTAAATAAGCCTTCAGGTTATGGGCCGAGCACACTTCCACTGTGCGTGATTAAAATTTATCATAAATTAAAGGATTGAAAGCGATAAATCGAAAATTCCAAAAAGGACGCTATCGGGCGGCCGGGCACCCGTCCGGGTGGATCACACGCGATACAAAGCAATATCCAGAAAGAGGAAAAATCGAGACGGGCTGGGTGAGTGACGACTGACGGGAAGAAAAAATGAAAAGTACTCAGAGAAAAAGTAAGTACTGAAAAATGCATTAATTAAGTGAAGTGAATTGGTGAGAACGAAAAATAGAAGAGATCAAAATGGCGGCTGGAAATTAATTGTCCACGACGCCGACCTGAAATCGAGAATTTTAGATTAAAAAGAATTAATAAAGAAATCCCATTAAATTCACAAAAAAAATCACTGAAAAGCATAAAATATCTTTTGTCATAAATAAAATCATATTTAAATAAAAACAAAAGAAGAAAGCCAAGTGACGCCGTGACAATAGTTTCTCGGCAGTGAAGGCGAGCACGGGTTTGAACAGGCTTCAACAAGTAGACGCAACGGGTGGGTTACGCGCGCAACCGGGGCACGTCTGAGAGAGAGGGACGACTGCAGTCCCACACACATTCCTCGAGCAAGGCGAGAACAATAAGAAATAGAAAGAAAAACGAAAATTAGTGTGAATATAAAAATTGGTGTGAAAAACAACGATTCTCTCTGTCTCGGCCGCGTTCCGCGTGTGTGCGGGGTCCACCAGCGTAATGTAAAGCAATAAAATAAAATCAATAGACACTAGTCCAAAATTGAAATTTACAAATTAAGGATGCATCCAAATCAAAATATTTAATTGGTGAGAATATTGAATTTAGAAATATTTAATAGACGAGAATAACAAATTAAATATTTGATGGGTCGAATCAATGAAATTGAATTTTAAAATTGCTATCTTTAGACGAAGATATTTATAAATAAATAATTACAGCTGATAAAGAACTTCTGCATGAAGTGTGGAGACTCCTAATTAGACAACATCTAATCGAAGGGAACCATGAGGGAGAAGTAGTCTCCCTGGCAATAATAGACGATAGAGTACATGTACTTCCAGACGAAGGAACTGGATATGTAACAGGGGAGACATCAGGCATATGTGTAAATAGGCGAGCATACTATACACATTAGACACGCGCAATATTAAGACGTCAAATTGCTTGAGAAATTTAAATCAATCTCTCGCAATCATAAAAGACTTGAATGTGTTTGGAGGAGGTCTTATGTTTAGATTTTCTGAAGAGCACATTCATTCTGAATTCGGTTTGTTTATGTTTAGCAAGTCGAGTTTGGGATTTCGGACCTGAATATAAAAACTGTAACCAGATACAATAATCCTAAATTTTCCGGTCTCTTTAAAATTAGATAAAAGAGAATTCACAGGGGATCAATGGAGATGTCTAACTGTGTTAGAAGCTGCATTGTTGGCCGAAAATAAGCCAATGTATCTACCAGGTTACGGTCCGAAGAGTCCAATGTCAACAACAGCTGTAATCGAGTATAGGTCAAGGAACATAAACAAAGACTTGGGAAACACGGAGGCGAGGGCCACAAGTGAGTCCAAGTCAAGCGAATTGACTGGAGGCGAGACGAATGGCGGCGAGATAAGTGCAGGCGGGAAAAACGCAGGTAATATTAATGTCAACAAAACTGACCAAATCAAACCGAAACCGAAGATTACAGCAGACAATAAAGTAAATATTAAATTGAAATTGGTAAAATCTAATCTAGATGATGAATCAGTTGAGCCTAACGGCAACAAGACTGTCAAGACAGTCTCTGTAGACATACAGCTGGCTGAGCTGAAGAGCATGGTGGAAAAATTGTGCAACTCAAATATAACTTCAACAAAGGCACTGTATGAAAGTTTAACAGAGAACAGAAACCAGTTGAAACTAAATGCTGAGGCGAGAGCACAAGATACAAAGGAAGTACAGGAGCTGTTGAGTGCCCTGGACAAAAAGCACAACGATAAAATAGAAGAAGTAAAGAGAACTTTCAATGAATATCGCAATAATGTCGAATCATCAATTAAGGTAACAACAAACAAGAAAATATTAGACGGAGGAGTGGCGTCAAATGAGCATACGAATCTAAAAAATCAAATTAGTTCAATAGTCAATAAGCAGATCAATGAAATTAATCAGACAAAGTCAAGTCAAGGAAACAATCAAAATCCGTTGAAACAATTAACTAGCGAGGTAACAAATAAATTACAAATAGAATTGCTTAACAAAGGAATGAGCTTTAAAAGAGATTATAAAATGGACAGCAAAATGAAGTATGAACATTTCTATGATTATTTTTCGTCAGAAATCAAAACGAATAAACTCTTACACATCATTGACGATAGCATTCTGGTTACTGTGGATGAGGAAACTCTTGCAGAACAGAAGCATAAAGTTAGAGAAATTCTGATAAACCATTTGGATAGAAGTTATCACCCTAAAATTGTCAAACTACAAGATCCAAAAGAAATATTGAAAAAATTAAAAGAATTAAAAATGGCCGAGTTTAATGTAACTTCACACTCGGTGAGACAAGACCTGTATAATATGAGATACAATCCAACCAAAATGACAGCTGGCGAGTTTAATGATTTGTTTGATGAGAAAATTGCAACGTATGAAAATGCTCCTGACACCATTCCTCTGAGTGAAAGCGAAAAGAAAGATGCATTTTACAATGCAGTAATAAAAGCTTTTCCCAATATTAAAATCATTGAAAACGTAAAAAAGAAAGCTATAGGAGTGGGCTTGACGTTTGGCGAGTTGAAAATTGCGATGTTAGAAGAAGAAGCTACTACGAAAAGTGAGCGCTTAGATTCAGATCTTAAAACTGCTAATTTTGCACAGCACAAGGGGCCAAGGTGTTTTGCCTGTCAGGCGTATGGGCACAAAGGACCAGACTGTCCCAATAAAGGGAAAGGATACTTGTGCTACAAGTGCAATCAATTTGGGAATCACAAGGCGAGAGATTGCCCAAACATAACTAACAATGACAATGCACCAAGTGGTCCGGGATACTCTAAACAGACTCCAAGGTACAATTCCAATTTTAAATTTAACTATCGAAACAATTATCAAGATCAATATAGAGGTAATGGTAGAGGAATGAAAAGACCAATGAGAGGTGAAACATATGGTCCAATTCAAAGAGGAAGATTCAATAAGAGGAGGTTCTCCTATAAGAGAAGTGAGAACAAACATGGGTTTAAGTCATCTCACAAATCAATCACGAAATCTAATCCCGACAAAACTACAGAGAAAAATAACTGCCATCAAGGTAAGGAAAAAGAAAATTATGATCAATCAACTACTGAAATATTTTATGCAGATAGTAAACAAACAAATGGGAATAAGTTTTTGACAGACTTTCTAGCAGACTCAGGCGCGACCGAGCATTTAACAAATTCCAGAATTATATTTAAAACTTTTAACGAGTTAGATTGTGGAGTAATTAGATGTGCGAATAAAAATGAGTCAGCGGACTTGAAAACGGAGGGAGCAGGAACAGTAGAAATCGAACTGGCGAGCGGTAAATTATTAGAAGTTGACAAAGTTATTTTTGCAGAAGCTCTTAAAGCAAATCTGCTATCATTAAGAAAATTTGCCGAAATGGGATTAGCAATCTACTTAGATGACAAGAAAATTGATATATTTGATCCAGTGTCAAATGAACTTTTCATCTCGGGGATTTACAGAAAACCTTACTGCATCACCGATTTAGAAATAGTAAAGTTAAACTCTATCAGTGAGAATTCTTTCAAGCAAATAAACAGGCGAATAGTAGCAAATGTAGCTGATGTCACTGGGGGTGAAAATGAGGTAAAAAGATATCTCACCAGAAGTGTCACAGGAAACTTACAGAACGAAACAAGTGAGAAAACAAACGAAATTGATAAGAGTAATGAGGAAGAAAATAAAATGGATGAAAAGCATAATGAAAAAGGGAGTGAAAATTTAATAAAAGAGAAAATTATTAATAAAGAAAAGATTCCCTATGAACAATCAAATTTTGATTACACCATTTGGGACAGAAAATTGCAAGAAGCTGATGAATTACCATGGGATGACTCGTTAGAAGATTTCCCAAAACTTTCAATTGATAAAAATAGCTATATGAGGAATCATGATGTCATGTTGTGGCATTGTAGATTTGGACATGCCTCAACGAGTTACCTCAAGGCACTACAAAAGAAATTCCCAGATAACAAAGAATTAAATGCAGTAAAATTTGATGATGAATTCATTAGAGATTGTGAGGTCTGCTTAACGTCTAAATTCAATAAATTATCATTCACGTCGGTGCGCAGGCGAGCAACAGCACCATTGCAAATAATTCACTCAGATGTGATGGGACCTATTACTCCAATTTCTCATCCTAAGGGATACAGAATTATTTCTGTGTTCATCGATGACTTCTCAAGATTCGCTATGGCTTATCCAATGAAGGCGAAAAGTGAAACAGGACATTGTCTTGATATGTTCATTAGAAGCGCGCGTAATCTACTGGGTTATGACACGAAAGTATGCTATCTTAGATCAGATCAGGGAACAGAGTATACAGGCGGGTATACAATTGAAGTTCTTAAGGGTCTAGGGGCGGAATTACAGTTAGCCTCCCCTGATACTCCAGAACACAACGGTGTCGCTGAGAGGTTTAATCAAACTATCCAGAAAAAGGTTAGATGCTATATGTTTGACTCAAGACTGCCAAAGGGCATGTGGGATCTGGGCTTATCAGCTGCAGTTTATGCTTACAATAGGACTCCACATAAATCAAACAATATGATAACTCCTTTAGAAAGATTCGCGCCTAATCACAGCTTTGACATTAATCAAATCAAAAGATTCGGTAGCTTAAGTTACGTAAAAATTGCTAGAAACACTGGTCCAAAGTTTGGACCTCGAGGTGTAGGTATGGTCTTGGTTGGATATACTCCAACAGGGTATCAACTCTTAAAGCCAGAGCTAGGGAAGTATTATGAAAGCAGACATGTTAAATTCAATGAAAAATTAGTATATGGGGATAAATACAAGGGAAACGGTATCAAAGATTTCCCAGACTATGGAGAAATGGAGAATAAAGATGAATGGTTTGTTAAGTTCGAAAAGAATCGAGGAGAGACCGAGGATTCTTTAAAACCGGAGGGAGAGATAAAACGCAAAAGAGGTAGACCAAAGAAAGAAGTTTCAGAACAAAACACTATCAAGAAAGTGAAAACAGTTGACATAAAGGATAAAATAATAAATGATAATAGCTTTTCAGAGTTGGAAATTGATGAGAACATGAAAGGAAATGTTTTCTTCACTAGTGTTATCAGTAATGTAGGCGAGATAGATTTAGCACAAAAGGAAGATGAAGTGTATCATGCACTTTTAGCAAACATAAATGAAGATCCCTCAAATTATCGAGAAGCTATAAACAGTAAAAATAAAGATTCTTGGTTAAATG